TATTCTTAAGTCCAAATTGATCGAATTAATGTGCAAATGTGTGCGAAAAATTAATAAGATATAGGCTAACTTTCCAAAATAACATTACAATAATCTAGAAAATACTGTATCTTAATAAAGCAATTTATTTCTTAACAATCACAAATGCAATAGAAGAAACTCAGACATTTCTCACGCAGATTTACTCACTGTAGCAAATGAACTAATCAAAATAATTATTATGGATAAATAAATCTATTCGGATATTTCGATTATTTCTTTATTCAAATGTTTTAAATATAATATTGATAAAATTTTAATACATTTAAGCTGAAATTAATGGTCTTTGGACTAATTTAAATCTAACATTATATTAGTAAATCTCACGATATCAACAGATAACATTAGAAGACATAAACATAAGATTTTATAAATCAGTTTCTCAGATAATGTAATTATTCTCTTTTATACAGATGGATGAAACCACTAAACACTGGTAGTTTGGTCGAGTGTTCGCGCCTCACCGACAGGCCGATCACGGGTATACTTCACGTGTCTAACAACCTAAATAGAAGCCAGTTTCCCCATAGAAAATCCTCCCGGGAGACAACCCCCCCTTGGCAGATCCCACGTGTTGCTTGCCTTTTTCATTAATCCAATTCAATCCAATCTTTTGTGTAGAGAATGTCAATAATGACTGAAAAAAAAGAATTAATTTATTAATTCAACATTATTAAAAAATAAACTTTTTAATATATGTTTCGGTTTAATTTTTAAATACGTTTCTATATTCTGTTTGAAAGTGTCTAATTTAAAGAATTACTCTACATTTTTTTACCGCTATTTTTGAAACAATTTCCGTCGTAACTCTATTGTACTCTATAGCCTATGTCAAGAACAACTAGAGTTAGCGACATTTTTATTTTTGTCTGTCTTTTTTAAGACGAACAGAAAAAAAAAATGCCACTAAGTGTCTTCGTAACGATGGCTTTCATTTGCGGCACATATTTAAATACATTTATCAAAATAAAAATTGAAATTTTAGAGAAATTTCTATTTTGAATACAACTCATGCAAGACCAGAAACTATTCTTTAATTCAAAATAAGAAAGAATTTATTAGAAAGTAAATATTTGGTGGAAACGTTACAAGAGCTCGCTGTTAAAGTGATAATTGGTTTGAAGGGATTTATCTAAAGATCTTAGAAAGAACATATAATTGAACCGAAAGATATAATTATCAATTTATCTTTTCTCTCTAGACAAGTATCAAATACTTCTGCTGAAAAAAAAAGAGTTATAATTGAACAAAGAGAAAGGAAAAATAACACAGCAGGAATCTCTAAAATAATATAATTTATACCGGAAAAATTTTTAAAAGTTTCTTTTAGATTAATAACGACACGGTTCATAAATATTCCAATTGTTTTTTGTATAAATATCAAATTCTCAATGTAGAAAAGGGCAATCATCAATAATTTGCAATGATTTACTTAGCGATCTGTAACCGAATGCACAATTATTTTTATCGATAAAATTTAAATCTTATTAATTTTAATAACAATAAAAAATAAAATAGCTAAACTATTAATTAAATAAGAAAAATAATTACCGTAATTAGTAATTAATAAAAACAAAATTTACTTTATATCAAATTATATTATTAATTTTTCATTAAATTTTCTTATCGGCGATGTTCCTCTCGCAATAAAAAGAAAGAAATCGTTAGAACATATTTTTAAATTACTATCGCTTGGAGATAATATAATTAATTTTTGCTGTAAATCAATTGAAAAGTTTATAACATATACCACCACTGATTTAAAAGGATACTTTTCATACCAGAAAGGCCATATTATTTAATGAATAAAGTAGAAAAATAAATAAATAAAACGATCAGTTACTTATTGTGACGCCGAGATACAATTTTTAAGCATATTTTAATGTTAAAAAAAAATAACGTGACATCCGACCTATAACAGAAGTTTGTATATAGTTAATAGAGGTCTCCGGCCCTTAATACAGTATTTCCATATCTAGTCTGGATCTTCATCTATATAATTCAGTTTTCGAGATTAATAAAGGACAGACAGACAGACGGACGGACGGTAGTGAGAATGTATAGGTCTTCAATTTAAGAATTTTAGCCTAATTAAATAGGTATATTATTCAATTAATCATAAAATAAATGAAATATAAACACAAATACACACCTGTATGTCTGTAAATCTATATAATAGTCTATTATATAAAATAATACATACGTTTATTCAAATTGCTATTAAAGTAAATACATATATACTGGATTATAATCTATAAATTATTAAGATAATAATATAACTTAAATTAAGTTATTCAAGTTAAATCATTATTTTAATTGTAATCATCTATGTTGTTATTTAATTATATTTAGTTGCTACTAATTAATTAATAGAATGAAATTATATTAAAGTAAATATAAACATAAATTCAATTTTGAATGAAAATCAATTACAAAATTATTTTAAATATTAATATATATATATACTAACATATACAATGTTTTTTTACCTATTTATCTTAGTCTTGGGGACTTTGAAATACCGAGAAATGCTAAAANACATCGGAAATGAGTAAATTCCAAATAATTATTTTTCTATATATATTGATGTTAGTGTGTGTGTATGGTGGAGCACGATTTTGTTCACTTTAAAGTTTAATAACTCTTGTGCCTTTTATCAAAAATTTCTGAAATTTTGCAGGGAGGTTTGGGTATTAATTGGTTTGATACTGGTAAATTTTGGTGGTTAAAGGTCGAGAGGATGAAGAGATACAGGAGATCACGTGTCGTATCTCGAGCGTATCTCGAGTGAGGTCGGACTTAATGAAGATTTTACTCGTTATTAGCATTTAAATTTTTTCCCCTTTTTTTCTTTTAAATAAAACTCATTTCTACCCTCAAAATTAAGCTTTATATGTATTCATAACGTCACTAAATACACAGAAGGTGTCCCAAAGAAATGTAAACACAGTTTAGTTTTTAATCCCCCCTTGGCAGATCCCACGTGTTGCTTGCCTTTTTCATTAATCCAATTCAATCCAATCTTTTGTGTAGAGAATGTCAATAATGACTGAAAAAAAAGAATTAATTTATTAATTCAACATTATTAAAAAATAAACTTTTTAATATATGTTTCGGTTTAATTTTTAAATACGTTTCTATATTCTGTTTGAAAGTGTCTAATTTAAAGAATTACTCTACATTTTTTTACCGCTATTTTTGAAACAATTTCCGTCGTAACTCTATTGTACTCTATAGCCTATGTCAAGAACAACTAGAGTTAGCGACATTTTTATTTTTGTCTGTCTTTTTTAAGACGAACAGAAAAAAAAAATGCCACTAAGTGTCTTCGTAACGATGGCTTTCATTTGCGGCACATATTTAAATACATTTATCAAAATAAAAATTGAAATTTTAGAGAAATTTCTATTTTGAATACAACTCATGCAAGACCAGAAACTATTCTTTAATTCAAAATAAGAAAGAATTTATTAGAAAGTAAATATTTGGTGGAAACGTTACAAGAGCTCGCTGTTAAAGTGATAATTGGTTTGAAGGGATTTATCTAAAGATCTTAGAAAGAACATATAATTGAACCGAAAGATATAATTATCAATTTATCTTTTCTCTCTAGACAAGTATCAAATACTTCTGCTGAAAAAAAAAGAGTTATAATTGAACAAAGAGAAAGGAAAAATAACACAGCAGGAATCTCTAAAATAATATAATTTATACCGGAAAAATTTTTAAAAGTTTCTTTTAGATTAATAACGACACGGTTCATAAATATTCCAATTGTTTTTTGTATAAATATCAAATTCTCAATGTAGAAAAGGGCAATCATCAATAATTTGCAATGATTTACTTAGCGATCTGTAACCGAATGCACAATTATTTTTATCGATAAAATTTAAATCTTATTAATTTTAATAACAATAAAAAATAAAATAGCTAAACTATTAATTAAATAAGAAAAATAATTACCGTAATTAGTAATTAATAAAAACAAAATTTACTTTATATCAAATTATATTATTAATTTTTCATTAAATTTTCTTATCGGCGATGTTCCTCTCGCAATAAAAAGAAAGAAATCGTTAGAACATATTTTTAAATTACTATCGCTTGGAGATAATATAATTAATTTTTGCTGTAAATCAATTGAAAAGTTTATAACATATACCACCACTGATTTAAAAGGATACTTTTCATACCAGAAAGGCCATATTATTTAATGAATAAAGTAGAAAAATAAATAAATAAAACGATCAGTTACTTATTGTGACGCCGAGATACAATTTTTAAGCATATTTTAATGTTAAAAAAAAATAACGTGACATCCGACCTATAACAGAAGTTTGTATATAGTTAATAGAGGTCTCCGGCCCTTAATACAGTATTTCCATAACTAGTCTGGATCTTCATCTATATAATTCAGTTTTCGAGATTAAT